GTACATGCCCAAGATCCTGAGAGGAGAATGGAGGAGAAGGGATTGTGGCATGGCCATCCCCCGGGGGGTGATTTCTCGCTTTCTGTCTCTGTCTCTCCCTGTCTTTTTGGCAAACACACACGCCCTATAGCAAAAACCTCTCCAAAAAAAAGAAAAAAAGTTATCACAAGGCCCAGGGTCATCTCGGTTTTCTCCTGTGTTACCATCTAGGATTTTTTTATAGTTTCGTGTCTTACATTTACGTCTATAGCCCATTTCGAGTTACTTCTTATGAAGGATGTAAGATCGGTGTATAAAATTTTTCCTTTTTATGCATGAATGTCCAATTGTTCCCACACTATGATGGACTTTGGGTTTATTTGTGATGAGTCTTTTTGAAACTGTTCAGTCAATTTGCTTATCTATTCTCTTGCCAATACCGCAGTGTCTTGATTGCCATAGCTTCCTAGACACCTTTAAGTCGGTCCTCACCTTTGTTCTTTTCACTTGGTATTGTGTTGCCTATTCTGGGGCTTTCGCCTCTCCATACAAACCTTAGCATCAGTTTGTTGATGGACGCCTTTAAGTTTTCAAAAGTCAGTTTTCATCATTTTTTGAAGGAAATCTTTGGAGACTGCATACTCATCTCCTACCTTCCTGGATTGACCCAGTTTTACCAGCTCTCATGACTCCAGGGAACTCAGACTCTCTGTGTCTGTGATAAAGGGTGTTTTTTTCTGTCTCAAAACTGCCGGTATGTTTGACTCTAGCTTGTTTTCACCTATTGAAAAGTAACACTGTTCTAAATTTTGGATAAAAATAATAGTAAACCTGCCAAGAAAGGATCTAAAATTCGAGAGCATCAGTGGGTATAATAAAAATTTTTCTTATCCTGTGACTATTTTCTCTTTCATTTTCAGGATAGTGGAAGTCGTAGGTTTAGGGATCTATGTATGTTGTATCTAGTTCTGATTTTGAATGTACCGCTTTATAATTTTATAATATGGAAAGGCATAGTAATTTGGCTGTAAATGTGTTTTGTGAACCTATTGGAACCTTAAAGTTAAGAAAGCTACCTGCTAAATGTCCAGGGATTTTTTTCATGCAAAGAGCATAGCTGTTTTTATTTTTATTTTTAAACTTTGCCAGTGGGCATTTGTGCTTGCTGCTAGAGGGAGTAAGAAAGGACCTACGGGCGACAGTCACACCTCAGTACCTTCTCCTCCTCTTGGACACGCACACGCCCAGCGTGTTTTCAGGACTTGAAGCACATAGTCAGCCATGTGGGAGATAGCCGTCTTTGACAAACACACGTGCCCTCTTGCAGAGAGAGCGAGAGAAACTGTCACACTATTGGCTTGTCAGGAAAGTCATGATGCATTTTTGAATTTTAAAAAAGAAAGAAAGAAAAATACATCATGACTTTCCAGACAGTCTATATTTTCCAAAGTGGTTATATCATTTTAGATTCCCACCAGTGGTATATAAGCATTTCCGTTCCTCAACATCCTTGCTAGCACTTGGTAATTGTCACTCTTTTTAACGTCTGACAGTATATTATCATTGTACGTTTCTTTCTTTTTTAAAAAAAGAATTATTTTTTGGGGGGGCCGGCAGGTGGCGCAATGGTTAAGGTGGCTGGGCTCCCACATGGCTGACCAGGTTCAAGTCCCGGGCCTGGCAGCTTGCTTTCTCATTCCTTTTCTCTCTCTTTCTCTCTCTCTCTCATCAACTTAAAATAAATAAATAAATAAAATAGTGATAATGAGTAACATTTTTTAAAGGAAGAATTATTTTATTTTGTTTTATTTATTTATTTATTTTAATTTGACCAGAGGAGCAGAGAGAGACGGGTGGGAAGGTGAGAAAGCAAGCCGCTAGGTCCAGGACTCGAACTGCAGTTGGCCATGTGGGAGTCCAGCACCCTTAACCTCCAAGCTACCTGCCAGCCCCACTTATATGTTTCTTGATTATTGAATTTTAACAGTTTTTATCAAATTCCAAATGGAAGTACTTCACTAGATATAAGTCTTGGAGGTACATTCTCCCACACTTTGGCTTGCCTTTTTGCTTAATTACTGACAATTTTTGAAAAACGGTCGTTCTTAATCTTGATAAAGTCTAGTTTGTTGATTTTTTTCCCCCTTCTTTTCTGATTAGTGTTTGCCATCTCCTAAGAAATCTTCGCCTACTCAAAGATTGTATAGATAATACACCTTCATTTTCTTCTGGAAGTTCTGTAGCTTCTTTATATTTTACATTTTAAGTTTGTGACATATCTTAAATTTAAGTTTTTGTGTTAGATGTGAGGAAATAGTTGTTTGGAGGTTTTTTTCCTCATGGATATTTTGTTCCGTCAGTATTTGTTGAAAAGACTCCTTAAAAATGATATCGTCTACATAATACAGGTCTGTGTCTGGATTGTTTGATTCCATTGATTTATTTATCTGCCAATACCACAGTGTCTTAATCACTATAACTTATATAGAAAGTCATGAAACCATGTAGTGTAATTTCTCTAGCTTTGTTCTTTTTCCCTTATTTATTTTAATTTTTTTTAAAACATTTGATTGCTATACATCATTTGGCTTGTAAAAGAGAATTTACCCAACATGAAGTACATCTTAGACCAGTCCAGTTAAGAATACTATACGTGTTATCATCAGCAGGCAATAAACCATTTCTGTCCCACAAATGTCTTGCTTTTCTATTTTTTCTCCCTGATTTCCTTCCCTGTGCTCTTCCCTTTTCCCACCCTCCCTCCACATTGTGTCCAGTGTTCGTAACTATTTTCACTGCTTTTATGTCCTCTAATATTTTCATCTCTACCATAGAGTGCAGACAATTGGTATATAGTAAGTGGAGACATACAATATCTCTTTCATCGCCTGCTTCACTCAGCAATAAATCTTCCATATTCGACCACTTTCTATCAAATGCCAGGATCTTGTTTTTTGGGGTTTTTTTTCGATGGCTAAATAGTATTCCACAGAGTATATGTGCCACACTTTTTCAATCCATTCATCTGTTTGGGTTGGTTCCATGCCTTAGCAATTGTGAATAAGGTCACAGTAAACATCAATGTGCAGGTGCTTTTCCAACTGAGCATTCTCCTGTCCTTTAGGTAGATACACATGGAATTACTGGATCATATGGTAGTTCTATTTGTAGATCTTTGAGGAACCTCCATATTGTTTTCCACAGTGGCTGGACCAATTTACATTCCCACCAAAAATGTAGGAGAGTTCCCCTTTCACCACAACCTCACCAACACTTCTCATTTTTTGTATTTTTAATCTTCACCAGTCTGACAAGGGTTAGGAGGTATCTCATTGTGGTTTTAGTATGCGCCTCCCTTATGATGAGGGATGTTGAACATTTCTTCATAAGCTTTTTGGCTATTCATGTCTTCCTTAGAGTTTTTTGTTCAGGTCTTCTCCAGTAAGCTGCTTCAGTTCCCTGTGTATTCTGTTTATCAGTCCTTTATCTGAGGCATTGTTTACAAAAATTCTCCCATTTTGAGGGTTGTTGATTTACACTAATTACTGTGTCCTTTGCTGTGCAGAAACTTAATAATTTTATGTAATCCCCCTATTACAACTTTGTTCTATTTCAATAACGTTTGACCTTTCCTAGGTCCTTTCTAATTCATAATAAGTTTTGTGGTAACTTTGGCATTTTTTTCCCCCCAAAAAGCTTGTAAGTCATTTGATTGGCATTGCATTGAATCTGTGGGTTAAATTTGCATATTATTGACATCCTAAGAAATTTATTCTTCCAATCCATGAACATTGGTGTCTCTCCATTTATTTCTTAATTTCATCATTTTTAATGTAGAGACCTTGTCTTCTGTAGTTTATTTCTTAAATACTATATATATTTTAATGTCATTTAATAGCAGTGTGTTTTCTTTTTCTAATATGTTTATTGCTAATTTCTTAATATAGAATTTTTATGTTTATGTATTGACCTTGTGCTCTGCAGAGTCACTAAATTTACTGAATAGTTCTAATTGCTTTCTTATAGTTTTGTGGGGTTTTTTTGTTTTTTTGAGAGGTTTTTGCTATAGGGTGCTTGTGCTCACCAGAAAGACAGATAGTGAAAACGAGAAATCACCTCCCAGGACGGATGGCCACGCTGCAATCCCTTCTCCTCCATTTTCCTCTCTGGATCTTGAGCACACACATACACACATGCGCGCGCGCGCGCACACTTGACATGAGTTTAAGCAACCAGGTCAAGGACTCGAACCCCAGTCAGCTACATGGGGGTCCAGCAATGTAGCCATTATGCCATCTGCTGGTCCTGTAGTTTTTAAGAATTATTTCATTTTAATCATTGTCAGTATTTTAATTTTATTTTTTTGAAGTTGACCAGAGAGAAACAAAGAAAATAAGAAAACAAATAGAGATGGCTTTATTTGGTCACTTCCAAACTTACACCTTTTCTTTCTCTTTCCTTAATGCACGTACTGGAATCCCTAGTACAAGAGAACATAGCTTTGTATTGTTCTTGACCTTATGGGAGAAATGTTCAGCTTTGGAATTTATTTTTATATAAGAGAAGAAGCTAGCATGTGTCTGAAATTGTTGACTAGTTATCCCTCAAACTCTTTATTGCATAATTCAGCCATTCCCCGCTAATTTGAGATGGTACCATTACCATGTGTTTAATTCTTACAAGTACTCATGTCTGATCTATATATACCAGGATAATCCTTTTAATTCAGTATTTAACTTTCACTCATAAAAGTGTAATGGAAATTTGGGGCTGGCAGGTGGCATGGTGGTTAAAGGTGCTGGACTCCCACATGGCCGACCAAGATTCAAGTCTTGAATCTGGTGACTTTCTTTCTCACTTTCCCTCTCTGTCTGTCTGATCAAACTGGAAAGTAACAATAATAATAAATAAAGTTAAAATAAAATAATTCTTTAGGAAAAAAAAAGTATAATGGAAATTAAAAGGCTGAGTTAGAATTCAGTATGGCTCCAAGCTTCTAAGGTGAATACTATCCAAAGAAGTGGAGGGGCCTCCAGAAAAAAAATAGAGTGACGGGTCAGGACAGCTAACTGCCAGCTCGGATGGCACTGCTTCAAAGAGCTTGTCTGAGAAAGGTCACTTTATTATCATAAAAGAGGTTCTGTTAACCAACCGCAACTGATATAAACATACATAGATGGGATGGACCAATTTTAGTTTCCCAAGACACGGAGTGTCCTAGCGGAAGGATCCTCGGGAAGTGGAGGAAGATAGGGGACTTTCTGAAACTACCCTGCGAGGCTGTTGAGATGACTGTTACTGTGTATTTGACTCTTCAGGCAAAGGCCAGGATGGAGTTGGCAGCAAGACTGAAAAGACTCTGGGTGACTTTGCGGCAGAGTACGCCAAGTCCAACAGAAGCACGTGCAAGGGGTGTATGGAGAAGATAGAAAAGGTGAGCGAGGCCGGGGCTCAGATGTCTGAACTTCGTGGATTGTTCGCGTGGGATGCCATTTGCTCTCTAAAGAGAGAATAGTGGCGCAGGGCGGCCCCTCAATAGAACGCTGACCCCGCAAAAAAAAAGAGAGAAAGAGAGTAGGAGCTCCGAGTGGTAGCTCAACACTAGTGGTTACAAATAACGTGAAGGTATGAGGAGGGACCAGAGGTGACAGTGACTTTCCTCGCAGGCAGGTCTGGCCATGCTTGCTCACGGTCCGTCCATATGCATGTCGCAGCCCAGCAGCCTGTGCTCTCAGGAGACTGGGGAGAGGTTGCACAGTGTTAACACGGGGATCTCACCTGGACTCCACTGTCCGGGCTAAAGAAGGCTGTTTGTGTGTCTGTGCTTTATGGTGGCATTAAGTTAAAGGAGTATGCTTTCCCGGGTATGAGCCTCCAGCTCTCTTCTGTTTCCTCAGAGGAACTTCATTAGCCAGCATGTCCTACCTGTTCTAGTCCCCAAAGGCTGACAGTCAGCCAGCTAGACGACAGCTTCCAAGTGGCCAGAGACACAGGTAGAAAGGAAGGTTTGTTGCCTCCAACCTCCCCGCCCTTCTCTGATACATACATACATGTGCGGATTGAATCATTGAAGGCATCAGTGGAAGGTTTCTGCGTCCTGAGCTCTTACACAGGAAATTGAGGTGAGCCGGTGGGTATTTAGAAAAGCATGGACTTGCCAGCTCTTCTCCAGCCGTGTCCAACCACTGGAAATCTGAGGTAAAAGTTAAAGTTGTCTTGCCCTCAATGGGAGTGCCAGAAGCTCTGTGCTAATGCTATTGCTTGACCTGAAACAGGGTTTTACTCGGCCTCCCATGCTGAGTTTTCTATATCTGGGCCTTGGCAGGAATGAAACAGCCTCAGGAATGTCAGGACTGGGGATTGTAGACCTGGGTAGACAGGTAGGGCTGTGTTCTTGCCTGTGTGTGTATTGCCACTTCATACGAGGTATCATGTATGTAAAGAGACTGAAGAGTCCTTTGGAGGGTAGGAGTGGGCAGAGAACCCCTGTCAGGACAAGTGTGCAGCCTTGGGGGTTGGCCGGGTGTGTTCAAGGTCTCCGCTCCACCCAGCACAGCAGGTCAGGTGTGTTTTTAGCTTTATTTAATTTGATTTTTATTTATTTATTTATTTGTTTGTTAATTTGACCAGAGTGGGGAGCAAAGTGAGAAAGCAAGCTGCCAGATCTGGGACTCAAACCTTGGTTGGCCATGGGCTAGTCCAGTGCCCTTAACCACCACATCACCTGTCGGCCCCAGTGTCAGTTTTGCCCCCATCAGCAGAAACATCTTTAGAGAAGTGTTATCACTAGCCTAGCAGGTAGGTAGGTACCCAGCCATTTGGAACTAACTTCATTTATAACAGGAATGCTTAGACTTGAGGATATAAAACAATCCTTGGTGGCATAAAAGAACCAAAAATCTCCTGGCAGCCCAGGAGTTCTTGAGTTTCTGGGCAGGCCTTGGATTGGACCCAAGGCCCATCACTGACAGGACACCAGGCTGTTCATCCTTCCTTGTCAGTCCCTTGGTACCAAATATGGCTTTTCCCACAGGGCCAGATGCGCCTGTCCAAGAAGATGCTGGACCCAGAGAAGCCACAGTTGGGCATGATCGACCGCTGGTACCATCCGAGCTGCTTTGTCAAGAATAGGGCGGAGCTGGGTTTCCGGCCTGAGTATAGCGCAAGCCAGCTCAAGGGCTTCAGCCTCCTCACTGCAGAGGACAAAGAGACCTTGAAGAAGCAGCTCCCAGGGGTCAAGAACGAAGGGTGGGCAAAACGCTGTGGGTGGGAGGGGGCTTGAGGAAGACTCTACAGATTCCACACGTCTCCGTGGCTTTCAGAAAGTCAAGGAGAGTCCATCACAGGGAGGGCTGCAGAACTTGGCCTTGTTCTCAGCCATGTGAGCAGAAGACAGAGTAGGGAGAAGCTGCAGGGAGCTCCCACGGTCATTCTACAGCTTCCCCCCTCAAGAGCCCACTCCCACCAGATCTGCTTCTGGGCCGTCTCTTCCTTCTCCCAACATCTGCTGGGTGGAATGAGCTAGCTTTGCTTTCTCTTGTGGCCTGTCAGACATTTCAAGATTTCTCTTCTGCCTCCTTGCTGGCATCAGCTCCCGTCTTTCCTCTGCCTCATGACCCACTCATATGTGACCTTGCCATCCTTGTGGATCTGTTCCTATATGTCTGGATCTCTAGGAATGGTGCTGGGAGAGTCGCAACCATTCTTAAATGGGGGGTGCACAGTGGATGAGATATCCCCTGGCCTCGCATTCAAATGGTATGGGTTTCCCATGGTGTTAGGAAGGGCCGGAAATGACTATCCTGAGTCTGAGCACCTGTGCAGGTCCTCAGCCCCAGTCTAGCGATGGGATAATGAACAAGTGCAGGGAGGGCGGTACAGGAGGGCCTGCGGGTATGCGGGTACCCTGCTCCTCACATAGTGGCTGTGCACCACCCTTGTCAAGCAGCGTCACACATGGTTTCAGTTCACAATGTGCCGTGTCTTTTCAGAAAAAGAAAAGGCGATGAGGTGGATGGGGTGGATAAAGTGGCCGAGAAGAAATCTAAAAAAGAAAAAGACAAGGAGAGTAAGCTTGAAAAGGCTCTCAAGGTGAGTGCTGAGCTTCATGTTCTCTCTGGGTGCGGAAGAAGATTCAGGAGTTATGCCCCACTTACTACAACCTTGAGAATTCCCACATTGTTCGCTGGTTAAATGGTGGCATTTCCCCCAGATTGTTTCCTTCCTGCCTCCCAAAGAGCGTAGTCTTGTTAGGAAGAGCACCCACGGTAGGCTGTCAGTGCCAGACCTGTAGCCAGGCTTGCGCTTCGGCCTAATTAGGCATCACTTTACACCCTGCACCTTCAGGCAAACACTGGAAATTGAATACTAAATTCAGAGATGCCAGAGTTTCTTAGCATAGAGACATGGCTTGAAGAGATAGGCATCCACATATTTTACTGAAACTCTACTTTTAAAAGGAATGGAAGATGTATGGTGACAGAGGACAGAACTGCCCATTAAATCAATAGTCACTGATCAAAGAGATGTCACCATGTTGATTACATTTGTACCAAAGCAGAGTGAAAATTATTAATCAGAAAATGCTGGGCATTTGGAAAATTAAAAGAGAACAGTGGGTCTTGTCTTAGGAACATGATTTCCACTGGCCATGTGCTTGGATCTCTTGTATGGGTATTGAGTTTCTGCTGGTGGTGTAAAAATTAGAAGCAATTTCTGATCTGGTTCCAGTCACTTAAGAATTGCAAATTTGGGAACCAGCAGTTAGCGTAATGGCTATGTCGCTAGACTCCCACGTAGTCGACCGCGGTTCGCGTCCCAGACCCAGTGGCTTAAAACTCACGCCAGGCGCATGTGCGTGCATGCCCAAGATCCCGAGAGGAGAATGGAGGAGAAGGGATTGCGGCGTGGCTATCCCCCCTGGGGGGGTGATTTCTCGCTTTCTGTCTCTGTGTCTGTCTGTCTCTGTCTGTCTGGCGAGTGCACGCGGCGTCCATGCCCAAGATCCCGAGAGGAGAATGGAGGAGAAGGGATTGCAGCGTGGCCATCCCCCCTGGGGGGTGGTTTCTCGCTTTCTGTCTCTGTGTCTGTCTGTCTCTGTCTGTCTGGCGAGTGCACGCGCCCTATAGCGAAAACCTCTCCCCAAAAAAAAAGAATTGCAAATTTGACAGGAATGTTTTAGGGTGCGTGTCGTGCACCAAACCCAGTTGCAGTAGGGTTTCATGTTTGCCCTCTGGTGAAGGTTTGGTGTGCTTCTCTCCCCTCAGTGTTGTCAGAGATACAAAGAAAGTCAGAAAACCAAAATGCCCCCTCAGCCTCCTCACTCCGGTGCGTGTTTCTGCTGCTTCCCCGTCTTTCGTCATAGATGATAGTTCTGCTTCTGCCGTTCAGCCCTGTACCCCTGACTTTGTCTCCATTATTGGTGCCCAATGTGTGCTGCTACAGGGGGATGAGGGAACCCTTAAAAATCAAGCTGGGTTGATCAAACAGGCATGAGTGTGTGGCTGCAGCTGTGTCCAGTAACTTTTTCAATTCCTCATTTGATACTAACGGCAACCTATGGGTGTAGTAGGGTGTTCATCTGCATTTCCCAGAGGCTGCAATGGTAAATCATTTCCTTACTGTGCTGGAGAGGAGGCTGACCCTGGCCTCTGTTCCTAGCTGGGGAGGCTAATACCTTTCTCAGCAAGGTGGTGAGAATAAACTAGACAATATGTAAAAGTATCTGATGTTTAAAATTCCGTTCTCAGAGGACCTTAAATATGTTCCTGCATGATGCTTCCTACTTTTTAAGATCGGGGAATGTAACAGCCGTACCTTACTTTCTTTAGTTCTGGATGTTGGAGAGAATAAACAAGGACCCTGGGCTCAACCTAACCCTTCTGTGTTTGTACCTGTATCTTCAGGGGCTGACTTTTTAGGGATTAGTTCCAGGGGCCTGGATTGCCTAACCCTTCTATGTTTGTACCTGTGTCTTCAGGGGCTGGCTTTTTAGGGATTAGTTCCAGGGGCCTGGATTGCCTCAGCTATAGCTGTCTCCACATCCGCCTTCTGTGTTCTCTGAAAGACCGCACTGCAAGTTTGATTGGATTCCCGTGAGAGTGACTGGGTGTAAAATTCTAGGCTGATCAGACCAAATTTGGAAGGATGGCCCCACTGACTCCGATGGGTGTAACCGGAGGCTCAGCAAGACCAGGGGAGGGCTCTTCCTCCAGTCGGTTTTTTTTTTTTTCTTTGAAAAGCACTGTTTGCCTCAGCTGCTGGGTCTTGTCCACAGGCCCAGAATGACCTGATCTGGAACATCAAGGATGAGCTAAAGAAAGTGTGTTCAACAAATGACCTGAAAGAGCTGCTCATCTTCAACAAGCAGCAAGTGCCTTCCGGGGAGTCGGCGGTGAGCTGCCTTTGTGTTAAGTGGGACACGCTTGTGAGGCCGACCCGGTTGTTGTAGTGACTGTCCTAATGGAGTGTGGGAGGCCCTCCGTTTGAACACCTGCTGGTACTAATCACAAGGAGTAACAGTTTCATCGTTGTGTTGCATCGTCATCACTGCCGTTGTGGTCGCCATGTCCCAGGAGCCGGCCTTTCCCAAGCCCTCCCAGTGTCTTGCATGTGTTCATGCTTGCTTTAGAGTGTCCGTGAGGGCCAGAGTGCACTCTGCATTTGCTCACATGCCTGAACCATGTACTTTGGTCTGAGGACCTTTCTCTGCCACCTTTTACCCAGACCCTCAAGGCTGCCAGGCCTATGGAGGGAGTAGAGACCCCTCTCGAGAGGTGGCACATGAGTTTCCCAATGGCTTCCCCTGCTGGCGTTCTCAGGAATTGAGGTAGCATTGTGCCTTGTGGAATACCAGTGGGTGCCACCTTTATTTCTAAGTCATTGAGGGCTGGGGGGCTGCGGGGATGCTGCACTTGAAAAGTAAAGAGTCCAAGCGCTACTGTAAACCGACTGCCAGCAGGGCTCAAGGTCCCCAGGCAGGCCTCTCTTCCTGATGCATGAAGTCTGCCAGTTTTTCATCCTACATTGGTACATGTCCCTCTCTGTGGTCTTTCCCTTCCCCTCTGACTTGTCTCTTTACTGGCTTCAGATCTTGGACCGAGTAGCCGACGGCATGGTGTTCGGTGCCCTCCTTCCCTGCGAGGAGTGCTCAGGCCAGCTGGTCTTCAAGAGCGATGCTTATTACTGCACTGGGGATGTCACCGCCTGGACCAAGTGCATGGTCAAGACACAGACACCTAACCGGAAGGAATGGGTGACCCCAAAGGTAAGAGGTGGGGGAGGACCCTAGGATCTGTGGGCTGCAAAATGTGACCCCCACCTTCTGGGCTTGTTTACCTCCAGGTCAACTTCTTTACAGCTGGGTCATCCTCATAATTGGCACATAAAATTACATTATTTATTTGCAGACTACACAGAATGGAACCAGAGCACCTGTAAGAGGGAAGCTGAGGTCTGTTCAGTTGGTATAAAATCCTCCTGCTTATTACAAAGATCACAGATTATTTCTATTCCTACTTATCTAGGGTTTACTGTGTGCCAGGCACTGTTCTGGGCACAAGGGACTTAAGTGGAACAGATGGACAGTGATTCCTGTTTTCCAGGACCTTTCCTTACCTTTGTGCCAGGAGAAGTGTGTCCACAGTTTACCCAGCTCCTAGGCTCTTTTTCAAAAAGTATAGCCACATATTAAGTTTGTGGGTTGGAAAAACCTCAGTTGGGAACCAGCCTTCTTTGGAACGTGCTGGTTGGGACCCGCAGTGTCTGTGGGGGCTGGCTGTGGAAGGCCTTCACTGTGCACTCAGGCAGAGCAGACGCTGGGCTGGCCGCCGGGGCAAGGCAGCAGTCTGCCCCTCACCGGGTTGCCCTGTCCCTGCTCCCGGTGCAGAGCAGTACACACAGCAGGCTGTCCGCAGGTGTCGGCTCGGATGTCCTATCATCACCACTCACCAACACGGAGAACCACCGTCTGTCCACTGGCCCGTGGCTGCCTTGTTTCTTGCCTTCTGTGCTCATTTCCATAATTACACTCTCACCCCCTTATCTCTGCTCACATGAATGATTACTCTAAGAAGAATCTAACCATGTCACTCCCACCACACCCCTTAAAAATCTTACACAGATTCCTAGTTCTGAGTAGGAAAGTCTTTTTTTTCTTTTTTTCTTTCTTTTTTTTTTTAGAGGTTTTCGCTATAGGGCACGTGGGCTCGCCAGACAGAGAGAGAGAGACATAAAGACAAAAAAGCGAGAAATCACCCCCCGGGGGGATGGCCACACCGCAATCCCTTCTCCTCCATTCTCCTCTCAGGATCTTGGGCACGCACGCACACGTGCCCAGCGTGAGTTTAAGCCACCGGGTCCGGGACGCGAACTGCTGTCGACTATGTGGGAGTCCAGCAACATAGCCATTACGCTAACTGCTGGTCCCCTTTTTTTTCTTTTTTTGCTATAGGGCATATGCACTTGCCAGAGAAACAGAAAGTGAGAAATCACCCCCCAGAGGGGATGGCCATGCTGCAATTCCTTCTCCATTCTCCTTTTGGGATCTTGGGCACACATGTACATGTGCCGGCATGAGTTTTAAGCCACTGGGTCTGGGGCTTGAACCATAGTCGATTTTCCAGCAACATGACCATTATGCCATCTGCTGGTCTCGTGAGTAGGCAGTTCCTACGAACCTATGAGGTCTTTGTATTCCTTTGACACTTGGATGGAGAAAGTAAGGTGCCAGGGAACAATATGAACTGTGTTGTACGCTCCGTATCAGTTCCAAACCCCGACTGTGTAACCTGTTTCAGAGGAACAGGCATGTGCAGGACATTTTCTCAGTGTGGCAGTGCTTGCTGCCCATGCAAATCCATGGGTTCTCACATCCCGTGCCGTGGCTGTTGCCCCAGAGGCAAGGTCAGCGTGTCAGTTGGTCCTCCCAGAGCCCTCAGTAGTCTGGCTCCATCACCCTCCACAGCCTTTCTTTTCTGCTTCCCTTTTTCCCCCCTCCCATACCGTTCTCCTCACCCCATCCCAGTCTCTAATTCTTCACACTCCCAGCAGTGGGCACCTGCCTAGGGTCCCTGCTCTTCACCACCCCCTACTCAAATGCCTGTACTCAGGCAGCCCCCTACTTGTCAGCTCCTAGGAGACCGAGCAGGTCTCACCCCCAAGAGCACTCCCGGCACCTGTTATCCCATGTCACCTTCGCATGCCTTTACGTGGAACTGAGCTTCCCCATTGAAGACCACCTCCTGCGGTTCTCTTCCGGGCAGAAACCCTCTTGAGAAGCTTGCTGGGATGGATGGCACAGTTAGGTGCTCGGCCTTCACTCTATCCACTGAAGTCACTGAACAAGGGCAAGGCTGGGAAAGGCGGTTTCTTGGTTGGATGAAGCCTCAAGCATGGGCTCTGTGGTCTTTCCCTGAGCTTCACGGATCTGACATCCGAGTGGTCACTTAGAGCAAGGCCCATTGTAAGTCACGTGGTTGAAGAATAACCAGCTGATGGACGCATGTGTAGTAAGGCTCTAGAGCTCTCCCTCCATCTTCTCCTAAGGAGGGAAGGGCATTGCCCAGATTTTCCCTTTGGCAGTCTCTCTGCATTGTGTGCAGATTTGGGAACTTTGACTCATGGTTAGGCATGTGACCCCAGAGAGGCCTGTTGACACTAGAGGAGAACAGCTGGAGGCCGGTGCCAGAGGTGATTCCCTAACTGGGTTGTTGACCATTGTTTGATTCTGTTGAATGAGCTATTTCTGTTAAGCCACAATACCAGCCTTGTAAATGTAGACAGGACGAGGGGTAAGTGCCGTAGCTGCAGTGAGACTCTCCTGTCCTAGAAGCCTCACGTTTTCCTACTTCATGCTCTTTGTTAGAAGGAAAAAGAAAAATCATTTCATTTGGATAAGCCACATCCCCTTTGGTGGGTGGGATGGTTATTTCAAGGGAAAACTGTTTCTTAATGAAAACTTACATTCTTTAGGAATTCCGAGAAATCTCTTACCTCAAGAAATTGAAGGTCAAGAAGCAGGAGCGTATATTCCCCCCAGAATCCAGCGCCCCAGTGGCAGCAGCACCCCCGTCCTCCACAGCCTCAGCACCTGCTGCAGTCAACTCCTCTGCTCCAGCAGGTACGGCCCCAGGACTGACAGTGGGGGGGACCGATCTTAGAGCCACTCCACAGGACTCTTTTGCCCACTCTTGGGTGCTGCGGAGTTGGTGAAGAGGGTGTCCTAGGGTCTCCATTTGCTGGTCCTGTAAGGGAGCCAGGCCCTGCAGGTGAGGGCCTCTTCTCTTGCCATGACCACCCCCAGCACCACCTACAGCAGGGAGCATAAACATGCTAAGAGACCACATGACTTTCTTACTCTGGGAAGTCGGAGAGGGATTCCTTAGGCCAAGAGGCAGCCTTCCCTGGAGTGGCATCTTAGAAGCTCCTGCTCTCAGAGCGCCATCTCCCAGGCCTCACTTTCCCGTCAGACTGCCCTGCACCACTCTCAGCCCGAGGCTGGTAGGAAGCTTGCGTCTGTACGGAGTTAGAGGGAGTTTGTAATTGTTAGTGAGAAATGGAGGCTGGTGGGAAGCTTGCGTCTTGGTTCTGTACGGAACTAGAGGGAGTTTGTAATTGTTAGTGAGAAATGCTCTGAGCCAACAAAGACAGTGAGATCAGTGCATATTTTTCTGCCAGGAGATGAGACCTCTGCTTATTATCACTCAGATACATGGCAATCTAATGGTGAAGGCCAGAGTTGACTGGATGAAGGTTCTGTCCCTAAGCGGGAAGCTTGCGTCTTGGTTCTGTACGGAACTAGAGGGAGTTTGTAATTGTTAGTGAGAAATGCTCTGAGCCAACAAAGACAGTGAGATCAGTGCATATTTTTCTGCCAGGAGATGAGACCTCTGCTTATTATCACTCAGATACATGGCAATCTAATGGTGAAGGCCAGAGTTGACTGGATGAAGGTTCTGTCCCTAAGCATGAGCCCAGTAGTAACCTTCCTGTTCCCTGGGTAGGTCCCAGGTCACTGCAGTGTGTGTGGTTATCCCAAGTCCACTCTGCTGCTTGCAGCTCAGGTCCAAAGGCATGTGTGTTGGGCCATGTGGGTCCAGCATTCTGGCCTGCCCTCTGCTTCCCCTCACTTCCAGTTCATTCACAAATCGGACTTTGTTCTACCAGTTTTCAGGTAAATATTATCAGAAGTTATTTGCCTTGACAGGAAGGGCATGCAGGATTTCTCTCTGCAGCATCTCTTGTTCTAGAAACGTGTCACTAGCACCGCATTCTTACTTGCAGCCAACAGAAGTCACACCCTGCCCGGGCCTTGCCAGCCTTGGTTGGAGCCAGACACAGACACCTAGCACGCGAAGCTGCTGCTTGGCCTGGAATCAGTTAGCTCAGAGAGGATGGGCTGCATGTGGGGTTCATTATGAAGAGTTGCACCTCGTGTTTAGACATGAGGAAGAATAGCAGAAGGCATTGGGGGTTCACGTGACCTACCCCTTCTTCCCATTCCACTGCCAGCCTTCTGGCCCCTTATCCACAGTCTGCCAGTGGAGCAGACCCAGGGTGGCCCCTGCTGCCGCAGTTCACAGCCAGGAAAGCCAGCCCATTCGTGGGCAGCGTTCAGTGACCTTCCCTCTGCTTAGTCCTTTCCATGTCACAGGACCTGTGGGTTCTTAGCCTTGGCTTTTCCCCAAGAAGAAGCTGGTAAAAGGGATGCTGAGGCCGAGACCCTGAACCTGCCCTAGCTTTTCTTCAGGAGCTCACTGCTTGGTTTTCCTACTCCAGGAAGGCGGCGGGGGGTGGGCAGGAAAACGACCTTGCTTAATGATTCTGTTCTCGTCCCAGATAAGCCATTATCCAACATGAAGATCCTGACCCTTGGGAAACTGTCTCGGAACAAGGATGAAGTGAAGGCCCTGGTTGAGAAACTTGGGGGAAAGTTGACGGGGACGGCCAACAAGGCCTCCCTGTGTATCTCCTACTCCAGGAAGGGGGCGGGGCGTGGGCAGGAAAATGACCTTGCTTAATGATTCTGTTCTCGTCCCAGATAAGCCATTATCCAACATGAAGATCCTGACCCTTGGGAAACTGTCTCGGAACAAGGATGAAGTGAAGGCCCTGGTTGAGAAACTTGGGGGAAAGTTGACGGGGACGGCCAACAAGGCCTCCCTGTGTATCAGCACCAAAAGTGAGTTTAGCTTCATCTGTAGAGTGGAGATAATGCCGTCACTTGTGATGGCGGGTAAAGGGCTTAATGAAGAGCTGACACAGCACTCAGAAACCACCTTACTGTCATCGCCACCACCCAGGTTCTAGGGAAGGGAAGCCAGTACTAGAGCTGCGTGTTACTGCTCTGCCGTGTATATTCACGTGTGACCCGTGTGAGCAGCCAGAGTGTAAGCTGCCGTTCATGTCACTTCACGCTGTTCTGCAGGGTGTGCAGAGATTCACTGCTAAAACAGAAGTGGTTGGTTCAAGTCTGTTGGAAATGCAGGGTTAAACAAAGAAACAGGTGTCTCTGTGGGTTTATGCTGTGACCATCGTAGGGCTCCAAGGCCAGAGAAATGGTGTGCATTGCTTCCTACATGTAGTTGGCTCTGAGGTCTGTTCCCTGTGGCCTGCTGACATTTCATTCTATAGGATGATGTGAAGGTTGCCATAACTCAGAACACCTTAGAGGATGGGGAGCATTCCTGATAAAAGACAGCGAAGACAGCGGTTAGGATGAATGAGAGCTCTGAGCTCTAGACTAGCAAGGAAGGGAGGGCTGTGGGTGAAGGTTTGGAAGGACAGTCAGTCATATTTAAACGATTGGTCTGTTCTGAGAAGTGTGTCATTAGTACTTGTGTGGTTGTGTGGATGTTTTTCTTTTCCTTTCAATTCAGAACCACATGTGCTCCCAGAGGAAGGCGTGGGTAGAGGGAGAGAGCAACCCCCAGTGGGAGGTGTGATCACACTGCAATCCCCTCTCTTCCCTGTCTCCATCCTGTTGGGATTCTGGGCTCACGCACAGGTGCACACATACCAAATTTGCTTCTCAAACTGCAGGGTCCAGGACAGCGTGGTCAGCTATGGAATCCACCTCCCTCAACCCCCAGGCCATGGCCTGGCCCGTTGTGTGAACATTCTAGAGCAGACTTACACAGATGGCAAAGCCCATTGCTGCCTCATGGGGCCACTGTCGTACGTGCCGCCTGCTGCTGACCGAACCGTGGTTATTTATGCAGCACGTGGCTGAACTTGGGTAATACAGCTTTGTGGCAGCTTGAGATTTAAGTTTACGGGGTTTTTTTTAAACCTTCCGATTTGAACAGAGGAGGTGGAGAAGATGAATAAGAAGATGGAGGAAGTTAAAGAAGCCAACATTCGAGTTGTATCTGAGGATTTCCTCCAGGACATCTCTGCCTCGACCAAGAGCCTTCAGGAGTTATTCTCGGTGCACATCCTGTCCCCCTGGGGTGCAGAGGTGAAGGCGGAGCCTGTTGAAGCAGTCGCCCCCAGAGGAAAGTCAGGGGCTGCACTGTCCAAGAAGAGCAAGGGCCCCATCAAGGAGGAAGGTGAGGGCCCCGAGCTGCCCCTCTGGGGCCAAGGGCCGGGGAAATCAGTGACCCCGTCCCGCCCCAGCATAGTGGTCTGTCCCAGGCTGGCGGGTCTGCCTGCCTAGAACCTCTCCCTTTCTGTCCCTGAAGTGCTCTGTCCATTACCCAGTTCAGTTTTCTTAATTCATTGTCACTGTGCACTGAATGACAAGCCCTTCACAGTGTCGGGACAGTACAGAGATGCCCTGTTGAATGATACAAGTGAGAAGGGCTTGTCTTCCACCTTCCCCTTTTTAATTTATTTGAATTTACATTTCTCTGTCGCCTTCTAAGGTATCAACAAATCTGAAAAGAGAATGAAATTAACTCTTAAAGGAGGAGCTGCTGTGGATCCTGATTCTGGTGAGCAGACAAGCACCTGAGCAGAGCAGTAGCTCACCCAGCAGACTAGTAAAGCGTTCCCTGGGCCCCCAGCACACCTCGGCGGAGTGGCACTGAGGAGTCCTCCCTCTCCAGCTCCTGCCCTGAGAACACACGTGTCGTGGGGAACCTCCCAAAGATGGTGGTAGTATATCCTAGCAGGCTCGAACCCCCCTCCCTGGGAGAACCGATCCTGGGAGAGAAAACTATAGAGCTTTGCCCCGGGCAGGTCTGGAACACTCTGCACATGTCCTGGAGAAAGGAGGAAAGGTCTTCAGCGCCACCCTTGGCCTAGTGGACATCGTTAAAGGAACCAACTCATACTACAAGCTGCAGCTTCTGGAGGACGACAAGGAAAGCAGGTGCAGGCTGGGGACCCCGCGTGGTCTTGTTGAGGTGTGGGCCTGACCGTGGCTGTCAGCGCTGCACTCTCAACCTCATGAAACCACATGTAGTCCCAGGACCTCCGGAGTGACGTCAGGTCACAAGAACAAGGATGTGTTGTGAGGCCGTCAGATAAAGAGGGCCACTCTCACCAGTAGTGTTGGTGTCCTTGCGCCCCGTCACACAGGGTGTGGTTTCACGCACTTTCCCAACTAGGTGTTTGTTTGTTTTTTTAGTTTTGTTATAGGGCGCATGTGCTCACCAAAGAGAAGGAAAGGAAAGTGAGAAATCCCGTCCTGGGGGGTGGAGGGAATGTCCATGCCACAAACCCTTCTTTTCCATTCTCCTTTAGGGATTTTGCACAGGCATTCACACATGCCCAGTATGTTTTTCAAGCTGCCGGGTCCAGGATTCGAACTGTGCTGTTGTACATGTAGGATCCAGCCACCTTAACCTCTTAACACCTGCTGGTCCCAGCTTTCAGTCACTTAGAGAATCAAGATTTTCTAATTTTACATGTTTTAAAACTTTTGAAGCAGATAAAGTTTATTAAGGCACTGAACTGACTCTTTATTATTACTTCAAACTCTAGTTGCTAGAGATCTTTGAATTTGCTTTTATTTGTTTTTGTAGCTTAGTGGAGACAGACACGGGTGGACCTGGGGTACAGGTTATGAGATCGTGAGTGCAGGAGGTGGTGCTGAGATGGCTGGCTTTTGTCACTCCTGCATTTCTAGGCAGAGAGGCCCTCATCTAGTGAGCTCGTCAGCTGTCCCTCACAGAGCAGAATCTGTACGGTGTATGCAGAAGGGCGTGTGGAAGAATCTTAAAATGCTATTTTTGAGTTTGTTTATTTTCTCCATGAACAAGAAAGATGGGGAGGGAGTACCCCCTACAGTGTTTTGTGGCTGCAGTCTACCCACAGTTTCAGCCAGCCCCAGCCCAAGGGAGGTCTCTAAATGTGAACCTGGAACCGTCATGGCTGTTTTGCTGGACTCCCATGTATTCGACCATGGTTTGCGTCTCGGACCCGGTGGGTTAAAACTCAAACCGGGCGCGTGTGCGCATGCCCAAGATCCCGAGAGGACAATGGAAGAGAAGGGATTGCGGTGTGGCCACCCCCCCCCGGGGGGGTGATTTCTCACTCTCTGTCTGGTGAGCATACACGCCCTATAGCAAAAACCTCTCAAAAAAAAAAGGGAGAGAATGCGAGAATGCAGTTATATGATGCCAGCAGCAGCTCATTTTATATGAGCGGGATGTCCTCAATTTTCTTTGAAGTGTGATTTCATCATAAAAATACATAGACACCTGGTGTATGGGCTTATTATGTAGTTACTGTGATTTGAAAATTGGGCCTTGTGTTATTTGCACTGAGAGAAAAACAAACTCACCCAAAGCTAAGCAGATGGAAATTGCAAATGATAACCTGGTTCTCGATTGCAAGACCTGCAGAGCCAGTGCTGCCACCCCTCCTGTTCAAGCACTTCTGATGGTTGTCTCTCCTGGATGTGTGACTTCTAACTAATATTGGCTGTGTTTCTGTGGGGAGGGGGTCGTTTTATTTGTTTTGGTTTGGTTTGGGTTTTTTTTTCCTTATGTAAATATCTACAGGCTCCAGTATTCACTCCCCAAGCTTGGCTGCCAGATCCAAGCTTAACCTAGTCACTGCTCATCTGCTGCTGCTACCTTCTCTTTTTCTTCTTCTTCTTTTTCTTTTTTTTTTTTTTTTTTTTTTTTTTTTGCCAGAGGGCACATTTGCTGACCAGAGAAAGAAAGGGAAAGCGAGGAAGCACTCCTCGTGAGGAATGGTCATGGTGCAGTCCCTCTCTATTTCCCCCTCCTTTCAGGAATGTGAGTGCACACGCACACCCAGTGGTGTCTCACCCTGTGCCTCAGGGTCCGGGAAATAAACCCATGTGGGATTACGCTATCTTCACCACCACACTATAGGTCCACCCAACTTAACCTGCGTATAACCCTCAGTTTAAAAATAAAATAAAGCCTTTTATTGTAGTATCAGTTCCTTTTGTGGGACCAGCAGTTGGCGCGATGGCTGTGTTGCTGGACTCCCATGTAGTTGACCATGGTTTGAGTCCCAGACCCGGTGGCTTGGACTCAGTGCTGGGCGCGTGTGCATGCTCAAGATCACAAGAGGAGAATGGAGGAGAAGGGATTGTGGCATGGCCATCCCCACTGGGGGGTGATTTCTCACTTTCTCTCTGTTTCTTTCTGGTGAGCACACGCACCCTAAAGGAAAAACCTCTTAGAAAAAAAAAGAATCACTATAAAAACACTTGCAAAGTTCTTCACCAGAATGGGGTGACAGGGAGGGATGACTCCTGTCTGAACTATCCCTTGCTGACCCACAGCTTTGTGTCTGGCTCCCTCCCACCCTCCCACAGGTACTGGATATTCAGGTCCTGGGGCCGTGTGGGCACAGTGATCGGCAGTAACAAACTGGAGCAGATGCCGTCCAAGGAGGATGCCATCGAGCACTTCATGAAATTATATGAAGAGAAGACTGGGAATGCCTGGCATTCCAAAAACTTCACAAAATATCCCAAGAAGTTCTATCCTCTGGAGATCGACTATGGCCAGGTAATCACTTACTGGTCTTACACCTTGTGCTTCTATTTTTTTCTTTTTTGCACCTAAGGTACATGTGCTCGCCAGGTAGAGGCAGAGAGGGGTGGGGAAAGGGAGAAGAGTGAGAAGGCATCCCAAGAGGGGTGGTCACACCACAATCCCTTCCCCTTGATTCTCCTCTCAGGATTTTGGGTGCGTGTGCACGGCCGGTGTATTTTTCAAGCCACCAAGTCCAGGACTCTGGTGTATTTTTCAAGCCACCGAGTCCAGGACTCAAACCACATAGTTGGCCATGTGTGACCTAGCCACCTTAACCATTACGCCACCAGCAAGCCCCAGGGCACCTTGTTCTTTAAAATTCCCACTGTAGGACAGGTGGCACAGCTCTTGTAAGTGTGCCAAACACTCGAAGAAGAATCAGTACCAGCCTTGGAGGTTCTTTCCCAGGAAAAAAAAAAACAGGATTAAAAAAAATCTATCTAACTTGGTATATGAGGTCAGTATCACCCCCGATACCAGGGCCAGACAGAGATAACACAGGAAAACTGCTGAGCAGTAGCCTCATGAATATTGGATGTAAAATGCACAACAACAGTAACAGACTGACTACAGCTACTTGTGAGGACTTACACACCTCGTCCAAGTGGGGTTCCGCCCAGGAACACGAGGTTGGTTCAGTGTCTGAAAGTCAGCGTAACGCTCCACGGGAATAGAGCGAAAGGACAGGAAAATCACAAAAGATGCAGGAAGCCCCTTCAGTGAAAAGCTCACCGTGAAGTACGAGGCAGAACTGAGAGGAGGACGGCAGTGGTATTTTTGAGGCTGTCAGCAACAGTTTTTGACATAGTCCCTGGAACATAGCAAGGGTTCATATATAGATTCTCAGTAAGGCCTTTTCGGTTTTCCAGAGGCCCTTACTGGAGAGAGAAAAAGCACAGCGCCCTCTCAACCACAAGGCATGGCCCCACTGCAGTCCCTTCTCTTCCATTCTCTCTGGATTTGGGGTACACACCTGTGCACTCATCATATTTTTTAAGCTGCCAGGTCCGGGATTTGAATCACCGAGTTGGCCATGTGTGATCTAGTGCCTTCACTACCACACCACCTATTGGCCCAACACTTGGCTCTTATTGCTGGTGGCACTCCATCGGGCATCCTAGTTATCTGCAGTCTAACCCTCCCCCTACCCCCTCAGACACCACCATCGCTGTCCTTGGGTTATTGCTTTAGGTCTTCTACTGTTCCTTTTTCCCCTTGAAGGATGAAGAGGCGGTCAAGAAGCTTACAGTAAACCCTGGCACCAAGTCCAAGCTCCCCAAGCCAGTTCAGGACCTCATTAAGATGATCTTTGATGTGGAAAGTATGAAGAAAGCCATGGTGGAGTATGAGGTTATTCCATTTTATTGTTTCATCCGAGCGTTTGCTGGGGGTGATCACTCAAGTGCTGACTAGTGAACTCCCTGGCAGTTCTTGTGTCATTTCTCAGAAGCAGGAAAAGGTGAACGTCAGCGTCTCAGGCCTAGCCTTCAGCTTCAGATGTGGGGCTGAGGCCCTCAGGGCTTGCTCTTTTGCAGAGGGCCGCTTGATTGGCTGTGAAATGTGTGGTGTATCGTATGGTGCTGCCCCCTGGTCCCAGACCCCTCTGCTGTAAATGCTCTGTTTCTTACATGTTTCTGTATGTGCCGAACCACCCTCCCGTTAGGGGAGGGAGGCATGGTTCTTTCAAACTGACCAACTGAAACTGTCCTGGGAAGTCCAAGGCTGAGCCTGATGACAGAAAGAGAAACTGTGCCGCCAGCTCTGTCAGAAAGTGCAGAGAGACGCCAGCGCCGTTTCCTCGTTTCCTCGCATAGAGTCATACCAGCTGTGTTGTGTATCCTGCCTCTTTGCTGTACTCGTTTATCATTTCCAAGAGTCTATTGTATGGACTCTTTTGGATTTTCTATGTATAGAGTCATATCATCTGCAAAAGCAGAGATAGTTTTACTTACTATTTTCCCATTCGAGTGCCTTGTACTTGACTCTGTTGTCTGACTGCCTTGGCTAGGACTCTCGGCACTGCGTTGAAAAGAAGTGGAGAAAGTGGCAGCCTCGTGTAGGTTGCTGTTTAGTGGAAACCGTCTAGTATGATATTTGCTATGGGTTTGTCATATAATTACATTTTATATGGAGAGCAACGTCCCTTCTGTGCCTGTTGTGCTGAAAGTCTTAATCCTGAAAGTATGTTGTATTTTGTCAAATGCGTTTTCCATTGATGGATGTGATCATATGATCTTTATCTTACCTGCTATAAATGTGCTCTATTTCTTACATGTTTTTGTATGTGCTGAGCCACACTTACATCCCTGGCGATAAAGCCTACCTGATCGTGGTGAGGGGGAAATCATGCCCGCTGTCTTTAAGGGTAGTAGTTGGACCCTAATCCAGCATGCCGGTGTAGAATGACAGTGGCCAGTGCTCCTGTTTGTTCTCTGTCTCATCTCTGCTCTTCCCCGGGGATGTGAGTGCAGAAAGGCTCTTTGTTCTTTCTTGCTGGCGCCTTGGAGCAGAAACCCAAGCACTGCTGCTACCTGGCAGGCAGACAGCCTCGTGTCTGTTCCCCGGCCATAAGCCCAGGACCTTCAAGCTGCTCTGAACCAGGGAAGGGGACGAGCCCCAGATCAACCTCAGCCACGGCACGTCTTCTCCATGAGGTTGCTGCCTTCACGTTTGTGTCCCGTGTCTTCGTTACTCTTCTGTAGAGTCTGCTGGCTAGCCTTGCCAGAGGGGAGCTCTGAGCCGGGGTGGTACAATCGTCGGCACCTTTTCTTTGACTCCATAGACATCGGGGCCAACCAGCATCTCCCAGCAGGAACCCAGCCAAGCAGAGCTCTCATAGCCTTGCGGTGGTTAGACTAGGGTGTTGCGTTACATCCTAGAGGTCGTCAAGTAGGTTTGAAAATGGTCCGGGTTTAATCACTGTGCCCATTCGTAGAGATCTGGGGGTTTTGTTGTGTTTTGTTTCATGATGGAGCACCTTCCATAGACTGCGGTCGTCCTGTCATTCTCTTCCTCCAGTCATCCAGCCCATCACATCTTGGGCACTCGCACACATGCCCGGTGAACTGCAGGCTAACCAGGCCAGGGATTGGAACTGCAACCGCAATGTCGGATCCAGCTTCTCATGAGCAGTGCATTATTGCCTGGTGTGCTTGTTTGTAAGCAGATACAGAACCTGGCTTCTGTCTGGCAGGGCCTCTACTTTGAGCCATCTCATGGATGCACTCACCAAAAACGGGATCACCCGAGAGGAGAGCAGGAGGTGCTGGGGTTTGGGGAGGAAGAGGGCTTCTGTCTCCCTACTGTTCAGAAGTCCTGCATGTTGTTTCCTGGCCCACATACTCGAATTTCTGATTCCTAGAACTTGTCAGTTATTCTCAGACCCAAGGCCCTTCTGTGAGATGGTATGTCTGTATCGCGTTCACTCAGGCAGGTAACTGGTTTAGCAGGAAGAAGGCAGCCAGGGGCCTACCACTAGAGCAGTCTGGAAAGCAACCAGTGGGAGGGGTGTGGGAAGCAGGGTGCCCACTCCTGGCTTGATGGGTTCCACGTGGGATTGGGAGACCACATGGATTCGGAGATGGTAATTGTGGGAGCTTCATCCCCAGCAGCAGGGAACCTGTCGTCCCCGCTGAGGAAGGCAGGGCCTGAGCAGAGCAGGATGGTGTCCAGGTGCTGAGAGCGTACCAGGGGTGGGTAGGGGGAAGGCTCGGCCCACCCTTGAAGCCTCCCTCTGGCTGTTCCTGTGGCTTGAGGGTCCCTGACTCCAAGGTGTCTCCCGCTTTCCACTTTCTTCCTAAACCGGGATGCTGTGTAGCCTCCGCTCCCGCCCATCCAGAGTGGTGCCAGGCTTTGCTTTTCTGGGAGTGGGGTGGCGTGTTGATTGAGTCCTTTCTTTCTCGTGGTTTGTGTGTACGTTTCAGGGGGTGTAGGTCTTTTTTAAATGAACGGAATCATCAGCTTAGGAAATGTTGCTTCCCTCAGTGCTAACTCTCAGGCTGGTCATGCCGCCCTTGATCAAAACGCCTTGTGAAGTTCTCAAAAATGCTTTCGGAGCCAGTTGATAGTCCGCCCTAATGTCGCTTTGCTCTTTTATTGTACCATGTTCTTGGCTCAAAATAGATTCTCCACCTTCTTGCCCAGACTGAGCTCCAGCCATTTAATGCCTGCCAGAAATTGGATATTCACTCGGGAAGGAGAGCCTGGTACTGAGGGGCAGAGCAGTGTGCCTGCCGGGCTTATGGCTGTTGGAGAAGCTATTGCTGCCGCCCCCCCATCGGTGCCTGATGAGCTCTGAGCGATTACAGCGCCTTTGTCCTCTTTAATCTCTGTAGCATCTCCCTGTCCCTCTAAGTCCCTCTAATTCATGAATGCGTCCCAGCTCTGTCTTTGTTCAGACTCCGCAGGAGGTGCTCAAGTGTAAACAGGAGCCAGGTGCAGTCTCAGCAGGGGAGCCTGCCAGGGGGCTGCTGGGGATGCCCCAGATAGTGTCTCCGGGTACAGCTTGTGGGGTCCACCGGCACGCAGATGTCTCAGCCCTAGGACTGAGCAACCAACCGGGCAGGGTCATGAAAAGGAAGAAGGGGTCCCACTTACAACTGGAAAGCCAGGGCTGCAAGCTGATGCCTGCCTGGCTACCAGTGAGCCAGCTGCAAGCCTCGTACTTCGTCCATGGCAACTTGCTGCCTCTCGTGATGGTAGTTGCCAGGTTACTGAGAGCAGTAGTGCTGGAGCAAATATTTGGCCTTTTGATGTGACTAATTAATAAGGAGCAGCATTGATTTAAGCATAAAATAGACATAAATGCTGGAGTTTGTCTTCCGCAAAAATTATCTTCACCACTTGGAAATTCTTGGTGGTGGTCTTTCCAGCTGGTAAACCAGGGAGAGTGTGCTTAGTGCTTTGGCTCTGTCTGGGGCCCCAACATGGGGAGCTGGAATGAATGACCTTTCTCACCCACTCTTGGAATTGAGGGTTTAGGCTGCAGCTTCTTCTAGAAGTGCTGACTATTTGAGACCAAGCCTGCACAGGGAGGAATGGCTTATCCCAGCCGTGAATGAAGTGACTAACAATCTTTCGGGCAGACTCCAGGCCCTGTAGAAGGGGTGGGTCACTATCCCCAGGAAGACCAGCCTGGTGGGCTTCTGATTGCTTCTGTTGGGGGGCCCCAGAAGCCAGGAGAGAGGGGATACTTGGCCCAGCTCTCCTGTCACCATGTTGCTCGGTGCCCGGCTCTCAAAGAAGAAACCCTTCCCTGTCTCCCCAGATTGACCTTCAGAAGATGCCCTTGGGGAAGCTGAGCAAAAGGCAGATCCAGGCTGCGTACTCCATCCTCAGCGAGGTCCAGCAGGTGAGCAAGGGGCTGCCCTCGGGCTCTCCCAGGCCGACCTCTCATTGAAGCCTGTGGCAGTGCCGTATCCCCAAGGTAAATGAAGTGGAAGTCCGGAGCCACAGTTCAGGGGGGTTTGGGGTTTCGTTTGTTTCTTTGTTTTTAAAGCATTATTTAACACTATTTATTTGTTTTAATTTGATCACAGAGGGACACAGTGTGGGGGCGGGCGGTGAGAAAGCAAGCCTCCAGGTCCGGGATTCAGACTACAGTCAGCCATGTGGGAGTCCAGTGCCCTTAACCACCACGCCACCTGCCGGCCCAAGGCTTGGGGGTTGTTTAAAATCAGCTGACAAGACACATGCCTGCCACTTGGAAAAGATCACAGAATGAACGAATAGCAGTGTTTCCAGTCATCAGATCTGTAATAAACCCCCTGTAAAGTAGGTGAGGAGGCCCAGCTACAGTGGCCAAGTAGTAGGGTGTGGCTGCGGAGGCTAGAGTCAAAGGGATGGCCCAGGTTCAGTTCCCAGACCAACCTAAACGTGTCGGGTATTGTAGTCCGTGCCTATCATCCTGGCTAACCGTGAGGCCGATGCTGAGGATCAGGACATGGCCAGACCCTGGCAGACATACCTCACTGTATTCACCTTCACACATATCCCCCCAAACCTCCGTTTAAGGGGGCAAAAAACTAGATGAAGAATTTGTTTCCTTCATGTCTTAAAAATACTGTGATTTTTTTTTTTTTCTTTTAAGTGAAGAAGAGGAGAGGAGAGGAGGAGGAGAGGGGTGTTTTTGACTGGATCTTGCCTTAACCTCCCTATTAACTGGGATAATGAACCTCCACAGTGGGCCAAGAACCACACCCTGGCCTTCACTGTGGCCTCAGCCACTCCTCCTGCTTGGCCACAGGGGCTGGGCCAAAAAAATATAATAACTGGTTTTTTAATGAATCCTTGTGAGTTAGGCTATTCATTTTGCAGTTACTAGGAACTCATCAAATAGAAAACTTGTTTTATCTCTTTTTACTGGTGTTCATTTATTGCGCTTGTACCAAATTCCCCTAGTCTCCCAATCCTTAGGCATAAACTGAGGCGTTGTGCTTTATCTGGGGATGAGGCGCAGGCTCAGCGTGTGAAAGAAAAAGACACGGCAGAAAGCCGAAGTGGATTTTCCGGCCAGTACTGGAGAAGCCCTGAAGCAGAGCCGTTAAATCCACTTGCAGCAGATTCTGAGTGGGGACCTCTCTCTCTGTTTCCTACTGGCTAAAATGTGCAAGGCTTTCCCCAGGCCCAAGCTCCTTCTGGAACAGCATCCTGTCCCGTGGCACAGAGCCAGCTGCAGCACAGGCAGAAGTCCAGCTTAGTGATGCGCACGCCCAAGGGAGAACTCATGCACGGGGTCGGGCTATAGCGTACCGCTTCATGGCCCACCACCCTCCCGTGGTCACCCGCGCTGTCTGCCTAATACACAGTACTCGGCGGTCCAGCTCTTCCATCTCTTCGTGCATTTGTTTGTTTGTTTGAGAGATTTTTGCTATAGGGTATGTGTGCTCACCAGAGAGAGAGAAAGTGAGAAATCACCCCCCGGGGGAGATGGCCCATGCCACAATCCTTTTTCCTCCATTCTATTCTTGGGGTTCTGGGCTTGCATGCCAGTGTGCCCGGTATGAGTGTCAAGGGTCTGGGTCTGGGACTTGAACCAGGGTTGGCCATATGGGGTTCCAGCTAACCTCTGTACTACCTGCTGGCCCCTCTTCATGCGTTTATGAGCGTCCTCTGCATGGAGAGCACTAAGCGACACTGTGGCTCTAGGGGCTGCTCAGCTTTCTGTGCCTAGCCACCTGGACCAACAAGTACAATTCAAACTACTCCTTCCCCACCTCAAAGATGAGGGTCAGTGGATAAAGGAGGCCTGACTGGATTTTATAGCAGTGAGCATCTCCACCCCAACATTTCGCTATGAAATATTTTCTAGGGTACAAAACGTTGAAAGAATTTCACAGCAATAGCCATGACTAAAATCCTACCGCCTGGGTTTTACACTATCTATTTTGTGGTGGTGGTAGCTTTTTTACGTCTAACTGCATGGTTCTTTAAAGCCCTTCCTGTGTTGAACTGGGCTGTTAGAGGACCAAGTTCCTGTCCTTGCTTGGTGGTGCCACAGTAGCGGGAAAGAGGTCTTCCGGTACTCCCTGGGTGTGCCCGCCTGTGCATACAGCAGTCTGCGTCAGTCACATGTTCCTTCTGTTCCCCCTAGGCGGTGTCCCAGGGCAGCAGTGACTCTCAGATCCTGGATCTCTCAAACCGTTTCTACACCCTGATCCCCCATGACTTTGGGATGAAGAAGCCTCCACTGCTGAACAACGCGGACAGCGTGCAGGTATCTCGGAGGTGCAAGCCCCTCCGCGTCGGTGGAAGTGGAGCCACGGGGCAGAACGAGTTCTCCCTTCTACCACATCGCTTAAGAAGAGCCAGTGGAGAGGAAGATCCTCTTTTCCCACCTCTTTACAAGGGAGCCAGGGCAGCGGGCTCAGGAACAATGTGGAGACTCCTGCCATCATCAATGTGCACTGATGAGAGGAGAGGCAGTTTTTCTATTTTTGCCATCGGGCATGTGCGCCCACCAGAGAGAAACAGAAGGGGAAAGTGAGAAATCACACACATGCTGGCATGACTTTCAAGCTGCCGGGACTGAGACTCGAACCACAGTCAAACATGTGGAAGTCCAGCACCTTAACTACTGCGCCACCTGCTTGCCCCAGAGAGGCACCTCTTACTTCATCTCTCACCCCTGCCAGGGAGTGGCCTCCTTCACGTTCTTACGCATGTCCACTGTGGGCAATAGGCCATGGGCCCTGCCCCTGACCAGTGGGAGGTCCCCCTTCACTGCTGGATGCTGTCTCCATATAGGTTTTCCATGCCAGATGAGTGACTGTCTCCCTTCCCTTGGTACTTAGGGTCTTTCTTTTGCTCCTTCAGGCCAAGGTAGAGATGCTGGACAATCTACTGGACATTGAGGTGGCCTACAGTCTGCTCAGGGGTGGTTCTGATGACAGCAACAAGGACCCCATCGATGTCAACTATGAAAAGCTTAAAACTGACATTAAGGTAACAGGGTTAGCCTTTCCTCAAGCTTATTTTTTTTAGAATTATTTATTTAGTTTTACTTACCGTCATCATTATTATTATAATTTAATTTGAATGGGGCGGGGGGGAGTGAGAAAGCAGGCCACCAGGTATAGGACTCAAACCCTGGTCAACCATGTAGTAGTCCAGCACCTTAACCACCGTGGCACCTGCCAGCCCTTCCTCAAGGTTCTTAACCACACATCTCCAGATGTACGTCAACCTCTCCCAGAGAGCTTAAGACACACACTGCTGGGGCCTGAGAATCTGCCTTTCTGAAGCAGTTCCCAGGATCTCTGGGCATTTAACTTAAAATAATGTGCCTAGGTTACAAGACAGGCTTCCAAGCCTGTGTCTCCGCTTGGTATTGAAACTCTTTTTTGATGGGTCTACCTAGAAGTTTGGGGGTTCTTTTCTCCTAATTGAGAGAGGAACTTTTGGAGATTTTGGTAGCATGAACTTCTAGTTTGTTACCAGTGTCCTGTTTCAGAAATGGAGGTGCCCCTTGGTGGCTGTAATGACAATGCAGTGCTTGGGTCTTTCTCTGAAGCTGAAGAGGCCCTTGTTTGTGCACACTTAGTCCCTGGACTTGGGTGTTAGATGCTCAGGCACAAATCCTCTAGCCTAGCCAAAAGAGGGGGTTTTTTGTTTGTTTTGTTTTGTTTTGCCTTTGCCCTAGCCAACCCCTGACCTTGAGCCTGGTCTCATGACCCATGTGCCTCACTTTCCTCAGCCCCTGCCTCTTTCCCTGCCCAAATAGCCCCTGCTCCTTCGTTAGGACAAAGCACAGATCTGTAGGTCCCAGCAGGGTCGACACCAGATGTCACTTTTGAGAGCAGCAGACAGCGTCCCTACACCATGATCAACCCCCGGGCTCAGCTGGCCAGGGTCACAGGCACATGCACAGGCTACTGGCGTACTCAGGGTATGAACCCAGGACCTTTCCCATGTCAGTCCAGTACGTTTCCACTCTGCCACCATCTGGCCCCCAGCATGCCTTTTTTTGGGGGGGAAAGCAATGGGTATGGTTTTTGTTTTTGTTTGTGTTTTGTTCTTATTCTTACTCTCTTTGCTTATAATTCTAAAGGCTTTCAATTAAGAGGCAGTGAAGAAAATCAGAATTTTTAGATGTTCGAAACTTTGAACAAGAATATGGAAATTTTAAGAGAGGATGCATAGCCTCTTCCATAATACACTCAGGTTTATTTATGATAAATTACATTAACAATTGGGCAATTGTTTATCGTGCATGTTCTCCAAGACATAATATGAATGACCCTGAAGATTAAGAGAAATTTATTTATTTTAACTTGCTATAGGGTACGTGCACGAGAGAAAGAAAGAAAGAAAGCCTCCAGGTCCAGGACTCAAACCACAGTCAGCCTGTGGGAGTCCAGCACCTTAACCATAACACCTGTTGGCCCAATATGTTGCCACTTTTAATTGCGAGCTTTGGTCATGGGATGGCTTTCGGCCCTTTGGGCTTTAACTCATGATGAGCTTGGTCATCGTTCTGGATTCTCCCTGTCCACTGCCAGTGAACCTCGTACTTCTCCCTTTCTCTTGAACCCAAAGCATGGCATATTAAGACTAAGGGAATGTTAGGGTTTTCTAGCAGTTCAAGTAGATGAAGCAGGTGCCCACAGAAGAGGAACCCCAGGGGACGTGGGCTCTGAGTCCTGCCTGACTTTCACCGAGGCGTGCTGTGTAGATCATGCGTCCCCTGAGCCTCCGTGCTGTTCTCTGTGTGTGACCCCTGGGCGTCTCCATCGCTCTAATCCCAAGACGCCTGTCTTCTAGGTGGTTGACAAAGATTCTGAAGAAGCCGAGATCATCAGGAAGTATGTTAAAAACACACACGCGACCACACACAATGCGTATGACTTGGAGGTCGTCGATGTAAGAATCCCTTCTCCCCCGCCTCCCTTTATGTCCTGCCAGCTTCTGCCTGCCCACTCCTTTAAGCTGGGCTTGGAGGGAAAAGAGC